CGAGAGCGCAGTGCAGAGGCGCCGCCACGGAGCCCCAGAGCCCAGGAGGCCCGGCCGGTGCCCGGGCACCTCCGGACGCCGGCGCTGAGGGTGGCGGGCGCGGCTCGAGGTGGCCGGGGGGCACCGTTGCGCCCTGAGCCCGTCCCCAGACCGCCTCGGGTTTCCATTTATTGGTAGGAGTTTCCGTGGCCCACGGAGAACGAGGGAGATGCATTACAGGGCGAGATCCCGGCGGGTCGAGGGCGGGTCCGGCCGCGCGGGCGCCGGGCAGCGCCCCGGGGAGAGGCAGTCGCGGGGCTCGCGCGTCCCACTGACTCTGCCCGGGCGCCCGCGCTGCCCCCCGAGCCTTTCTGCTCTGTACGTTCCCCCTCCTTTTTGTCCCTTTTATGTTGTCGGTTTGTGTCTCCCGTTCTGTCTCTCTCTGTCACTTCATCTATTTCCGTCCTTCTCTTTGCCTGGGTCTGTCTGTTTCTCCTCTTCTGCCTCCGTTTTCTGTTTCCGTTTGTCTCTGCCTTTTTGTTTTCTCTCCCTTTCTCTCTCACCCTCCGCTTGGCCCCTCTGTGGGAGCTTCGCTCTGTGTCTTTGCATCTCCCTGGCCTCCAGCCCTCCAATTCAGACAATCCCCTAGTGTTGGGGCTCCCAGTTGGGTCCATAATTAGTGTCCTAGGTCAGGTAAAAGAAGCAAGACCGTTCCCCCTACCTCCCTCCTGACTCCCGGCCGGGCGTGGGTCATTCCCGGAGCTCAGTGTGGGGCAGCGGGGAGCCAGCCCTTCCGGGGGCTCAGTTTCCTTGAGAATTCCACCCCCGCGAGGCTGTCTGGACAACTGGGCCCTGCTGCCGGCCACCTGCCCGCCCCTCTCCCTAGGCGGGGCGATTCTGGTCTTTTACAAGCACAGCGAAAGCGGCAGCTGTTTGCCTTGGCGGGGCCAGGGGGTTGGCGGGCATCAGGGGAGAAGGGTACATTTGCAGGATTGCTGAGGCCCTCCCCCAGCTGGAGGCCACCAGCCTGTAACTACGGGAACCCCAGGAAAACAGAGGTCAGGGCTGGAGGCCAAAGACTGGGCATGGGCGGGGTGTGGGGGTGGGAAAGCAATTTGTTAACAAGAAGCCCCTCTGCTTTGTTACTGCCTAAGCCTCCAGCCTCTTGGGACTCCCCCAGATGCTTGGGGCTGCTTAGGCGTCATGTGCCTTTAGTTGAGGCCAAAGAAAAAGCAGAGGCTGGAGCATTTCCTTGGTGACCCCCACCCCTCCCCAGCCACCCCTGCAAGCTGGACCTTTCTCTGCAGGGCCTGGGTGCTAGGGAAATGGGTGGAGGGGGGAGTGGGTGCTCTGCATTAGCCAGAGATAGGGCCATCTTATTTTAAAGTGGAACTTCAGACTGAGTTGACCCCTTCCCCTCACTCCCCACCACCCCAGGGTTGGAGGCTGTGGGGAGCCACCGGAGGCCACAGAGATGCTGGTGAGGGCTGCTGCAGGATTTCTGCTGAGCAGATGTTCACCGGCCCTGTGGCTCATTGCGTGGATTTGTTTTGGAGACTGTTTTTGGTCAGTGGGCTGGAGGGTTTGTGGGTAGGAGGACCATAGCCCCGGTTTTGCGGGGGGAGTGGGCACAGAGGTAGCCAGGGTTGGAACGTGAAGCTGTCTGGTGAAGGCAGGTGGAGTGCCATGGACTTGGCCCTGTGTGGCCCCGTGTCCGCCTCCTGGACAGTTGGTTCAGGCTCTGCCTATTGAGGAAGGAAGGAAGCTGCCCTGTGGTGAAACTGAGGTCCTGGAATCACAGTGACCTTAGCAACAGGTTGGAGCCATTCTCCTCCCAAGGCAATCTGCTAAAATGGACATTCCCAGACAAGCTCCCTGTTTCACAGGGAGGCTTAGGGAGGTGAAGCAAATGGTCAGTGTTTCTGTATTAGACTCTCCAGCTTCTGAGTACTGAGTGGGTGAGTGGATGTCCCCAAGTGTGGGCCCAGGAAACCCTGCTGAGCTAATCTGTGTGAGCAAGGATCCCCGGGCCTGACCCTGCCTTGCCCCTCTGCCAGAGAGACATTTTCAATTGCACCATTTAAGGAAGTCCCTGTATTCCTTCCAAGACCTGCAGCCATTGCCCCACCCTCCCTGATCCCCAAGCCTAGGGCTGTGGCCCCAAATGCCACACCCTCTGTGCCCTGCCACATGGCAGTGCGCACAGCCTGGCAGTGGGCAGAGCCTGTTTTCCTGAAGTTGGGTTTAGAGCGGGCTGGTCTCTCCAAGCCTGGTCCCCAGTTACCTAGGGCTTAGGGTCTGAGTGTGATCTTCCTCTCCGCTCCCACCCTGGCATGCAGTGAGTGTTGGGCAGCGCTCAACAGTTTATAAAACCTTTCCCATCCGTCATCACATTTGCTTGACTTTCACTTTGAGGTTTCCCCTAAATCCAGTTTCATGGGCAGATACAACCCCAGATTTAGATATTCTTAGGACCCACCAGTATCTGGTGGAAGGGAGGGAAGGAAGGGAGGGCTAGGAGGAGATTGTGGGAGGAGGAAGGGAGTGGGTGGAGGCTAGTGAGGATAAGAAGCCCGGGTGTGACTCTAAGCTTGCAATACTGGTAACATTTAGGGAGGACTTGCCCATTACCCGCGCCCTGTCCAAAAGTTACCTTGCACTCTGCAGGTTAATTCTCACAACTGCTCTGTGAGGTAAGGTATTATTATCACTGGTCCCACTTTGCAGATGAGGACATCGAAGCACGGAAAGGTTAAGATGGCTGAGCTAGGATTCGAACCTGGGTCTGTCACAGTCAGTTGTGGCTAATGGAGAAGGAGACCCAGATCCTGCCCTTAGTGTGCGTGTGAGGAGGGGAGTGGGGAGGATGGGGCATGGTGGGAAGGGGGATAGAGATTGGAGAGCATCTAATCTGATAAGTTTGAAAAACTACAGACCACAAACCCCACATGCTTACTGTTGGTATTGCAATGTTACCTAGATGCTGAGTGCACAGGGTGGAAACGTTGGAATATGTTGGGTCTGAACTTGGGGAGAGGCCTCTCTTACTACCAAGGAGTTGCCGGCCCTGTCCTCTCCATCTGCTTTCCCACTGGGCTGGTTGCTGGGAGCAGTAACTGCAGAGGCCTGGGGGGTGTGTGTGTGTGTGTTGAGTGTGTATATAGGCATGTTTTCTCTGTGTGTGTGTGTATAGGCATGTTTATATATGCATATGCTTGTGTACACATGTGTAGAGTATATTATGTGCTTGTAGGGGCACAAGTAAGTGGGTTTGGGGTAGGCCTATTTGTGTATGTGTGTGTCTACCTTGAAAATCCTGGTGTACCAGGCCTTAAGTGACCTTGAGTATTCAGATTTACCCAAAAGAGGAAATGGGGAGTGATTGTTCACTTGTTATACAAAATCGACTCTTTGCTCTACAAAGGGTTTCACAGTGGGTGGGGTCTCCATGAAATTACAGTAACTAGTTTGGTTTGTTTGGGGTCTGGGAGGAGTTGTTCTTGAAATCTTGGCCCCTTCTGTGAGTTTAGCAGCAGATTCCAGGCACTAGAATCCAGGTAGAGGGGCTGGGCGGCCCCCTCAGCAGTGCTGTTATGGGAGACCTTTGTGGGGTGCAGTTTGAGGTGGATAATGCTCCTGACTTGACTGGGCCTCAGAATCATGTAGGAAGCACCTACAGATGCCTGGGCCTCACCCAGCATATCCAGGACTGGGACCTGGGCATCTGAGTTCTTAGCAGGCATTTCAGGGAAGATGCTAAGCTCCAGCAGGGATGGCCCAAAAGGCCTGACCTCGAAGCCTGCATTCTAGCTACCCCACCTCCCTGCCCTTCCTGAGGGACCTTCTGAGTGAAGGCTTCCGAAGAAGCTGCCAAGGCAGGCCTTCTGTGTTTGTTCATTGCCCTCTCCTCTGCCGTGTGGGAGATATGGGGTGGCCACTTCCTTGACCTGTGCCTCAGTTTCCACAGTGCTGAAATGGGTGAGCCAGTGTTGCCCCCTAGGGGACTTCCCTTCGGTGTGGGCACCAGCCTCAGAATGTGTCAGGCAGCTGAGGGACTGGAGGGCTTGGATTTGGGAGTGAACTGTGAGGGTGGGTAAGAAGGTCCTGTGCTTAGGACGCCCTCCTTGAAACTCAAAACAACCCTGTGAGGAAGAATAATGTTACGTTTTTACTGAAGCAACGAGAACCCAAGGGTCTACCCACAGCCACAGGCTTGTCTGCTGCGGAGTCCTGAGTGGGGATTTGAACTCTGGTCCGTTGAGTTCCCAAGCTTCCAACCCAGGCGGTGGCTGAACCCTAGAGTGCTAATAGGAATAAGAGGCACAGTCCACTGGGGCAGGGGCAGGGAAATGGCCCCAGGCCCCTCATCCCCACTCTAGTCTCCTAGGCGTGAGGGGCCTGGGCTGTTTCCTGGATTTCCCGGATATCTTCTTGCCGTTTTTCATCTATAAAGGTAGTGCGGTGGTTAACCAGCTCCTGTCTGGGTCCAAATCTTGGTTCTCCTTTTTACTCATTTTGTAACTTCAAGCAAATCTTTTCCCCTCTGTGTGCCTCAGTTTCTTCATCTTTAAAGGGGAAATAATAGTGTCTATCTCATGGGATTGTTGTAAGGATTAAGTTAAGACATGTAAAAGCATTTGGAACAGTGCCTAGGTCATAGTTAGCTCTTAACTGTGAAGCAGGGGAGGAGAATGAGCTGATATCCATAATTTCCCCTCCCTTCCTTTGCTCAAGGAGCCTTGGTGGCACAGTGGTTAAGTGCTCAGCTGTTAACTGAAAGGTCAGCGATTTGAACCCACCAGCTGTTCTGCGGGAGAAAGATGTGGCAGTCTGCTCCCATGATCAGAGCCTTGGAACCCTGTGGGGGCAGTTCTGCTCTGTCCTGTAGGGTCACTATGAGTCCGAATCGACTCCACGGCAATGGATTTTGGGTTTTCCTTTGCTTATGCAGGCAGTTACCTCAGCCAGGAGCTCCCTCACTTGGTACCCCACCCCCAAGTTGTTATCTAATTGTATACCCTGAAACTCATTCCAACTGGTTGGGGCCTCGACATTATTGGCCCAGTTTATCCTAGATTATGACAGGGACCTGGGTGGTGCAAACAGTTTGTGCTTGCCTGCTAAAGGTTGGTGGTTAGAACCCAGTCAGTGATGCTGTGGAAGAAAGGCCTGGCAATCCACTTCCACAGAGATTACAGCCAAAAAAAAAAACGCTGTGGAGCACAGTTCTACTCTGTAACACATGGGATTCTATAAGCTGGAATCAGCTGGATGGCTTCTTCCTTTTTTTTTTTTTTTTAAATTAAATCCAAAATTAAGAATCTCTGCTCCCCTCCTCCTCCCCCTCCTACTCCCCCACTGACTCCCCTTACTCAGAACAACTGCTAAAAACAGATGACTTCCCCTCTAGGCTCTGAGCTCCTGAGGGGTGTGTAGGGGCTGGGGCCCCAGCTTCCCCCGTCGTCGCCCTCGTCTCTCCCTGCCCTCCTAGAAGGTGCTCATGAAACGTGGGGCAAACCGCAGGGAACTGCATGGCCTAGGGGAAGGGCATTGCTTTGCCTGGACTTGCTGTGAGGCCATGGGACAACCCTCTGCCAAGCAAGGGGTTGGCCTAGCTATCTCTGATTCCCCCTCCTGCCCTGGCATCCAGGGAGTCCCTTGACTTGCTGTGTGACCTTCAGGGTGGGGAGGAAGGGATGAGAATCTGAGGGTGAGGCTCTCAAGTCTCAGGAAGGAAGGTCCAACTGCTGCTTAAAAAGTAGTTAGTTGAGTTGCTGCTTTAAAAAAAAAAGAAGCATTAACCAACAAAAAAATAAAACCTGCTAGCAAAGAGGCCACCTGGCTGTAAGAGGGAGCAGTGTGGGTTCTTTGGGGCTGGGGGTGGAGGGTGGGTGTGTCTTGAATGTAAATGTGTGTGGGAGACTGTGCCTGGCACCTTCCTGCCGCCTGCCCACTCCACCGCCTAACCCTGGCTGTGCTGCCTGCCTAGCCTGTCCCAGGACCTCTAGCTCCCCAGGCTGGGTGGGGTGGGGGCTTCCTCAAGGCCCCCATGGGAAAGAGAACTGACCTTAGTTGGGTGCCTACTGGGTGCTGGGTGCTTAATGTTAATCCTTCTAGTTGCCGTCTAAGGAAGGTACCATGCTCCCCATTTTAGAGTTGAGAAAGATAGGTTCTGAGAGGTGAACTTACTTTCCAGAAGTCACATAGCTCCTAGGTGGGAGGGCTGGGATTCAAAACTAGGGACTCTAGGGTCTTCTGGTGGGAGCCAGGCTGTTTGCTGGAGCTCAGGGCTGCTGGCCAGGGGCAGGGAGCCAAGTAGCAGCCCCAGCCCCTCCTCTGAGGCCCTCGCCAGTACCCTGGGTTTGGGGAGAGGCCTGGCCTGGTGGGTTGGGTTACAGTGCCCCGTCTGTGGGCACTGGTGGCCCTTAACGCTTAACTTTAACCGTATCTTTGCTAGAGAGGGAGGAAGACAAGGGAGGTGGCCTTCTGCCTCAGTTTACCTCATTTCTCCTCAATTCTGGCTACAACCTGTCCTTAATAACCAGTTACCAACCCCTGGGCCAGCAACTCCCCTAAAGAAATCTGTTATGCCATTTCCTGATAAGCCTTGTTATCAGCCTCAACACCAATCTCAGTTCAACTTTAACCTAGTCCTAACCCATAGCCTATGAGTTGGAACCAACTCGATGGCACCTAACAACAACAATGACCCATAGCCTCAATTCTAACCTCTCCTCTAACCCTAATTCCAACTCTGTGTCAGACCTGAAGACTCATCTTGTTTATTCTCTTTACCACCCCAATCTCCATTCCTAATTCTAAGTAAACTTTAAAGTCACTCCCTGCCCTACTTGCCCCTCTGCTTCCCAAGGAAGGATGGTGGGCGCAGTTATAGGACCAAAGTCCCCAGAACTCCCTGAGGCCTACAGGGGGCCAGCCCAGCCTAGGGAGGGCCTGGTGGGCTCTGGCCTTAAGTCAGTCTCCGAGTCTTTTCTGATGTGCAGTGGTCAGACCCTGAAGAGAACCTGTAAGGGTGAGAAAGTCTTCTGGATGCTAAGTTTGTTGAAAATTTGGTTAGGTTGCCAGTTAAGAACAAACCCATTCTAGAAAATTTGGCAACGGATGTCGGTGATGGTTGCACAACATGGTTAACGTAACTGATGTCACTAAACTGTACTTGTGAAAAACGTTAAATTGGCAAATGTTGTGTTATATATATAATTACAACAACAACAAAAACTAAAAAAAGAACAAACCCATTCTACTTTGTTAGAATGTGGTTCCATGGAAAACATGGGCTTTGCTGTCGATCTTGTGAGCTGGACCGGAAATGTGTGGGTGAGCCTGGACCATGCCGTAAGCTCATTTGGGATGGGGCGGACTGTCTGACCACCTCCAGCTGCGCTCCCCTTTCCACTCCTCCCCACTGGGCTGGGAGCAGGAGTCATCTAAGCATTGGGATCTGGTGAGGTGGTACATCTAGGCTTCTGGAGACCTCCTGCAGGGAGAAGGGGTAGGAGCTGAGGGGGACGTGCTGGATGGAGAGAACCCATGGAAGTCACAGCCCTGCAGGCTGGCCTGCACCCTCCCTGGGAGCTGAGCTGAGCCAGCTCCACCAGGGTTTTCCCTTCAAGAGCAGTAGGCAGGACCCCCCTCCATTCCTCCCTGACCTTTACCAAGTACCTACCTCTACTATCCCTATTTTAGTGCTGGGCTTCTGTACGACCAGTGGGACCCTCAGCTCCCTCTTCCAGATTTAGCTTCACCTAGGCCCTTATGGTTGGCAGTTCGACTCCACCAGGCACTCCTTGGAAACCATATGGGGCAGTTCTGCTCTGCCCTATGGGTCACTATGGTCGGAATCAACTCGATGGCAACGGGTTTTTTAAGGCCCTTCCGGAGACTCTCCCAAGACACAGAATCCCAGCCTGTCTGAGCTGGAATGGTCCCTCGGGATCTTCTCATCCAGTGGGTCCCAAACCTGGCTGAGCAATAGGACCACCTGGGAAGCTTGTTAAAAATGCAGAATCTCGCCTCATCCTAGAACTTTCACTCCTTAAGTCTTCAGGGAATTCTGGTGATTCTGAAGCTGGTTTGCAAACTACTGGTCTAGTGCAGCCCACTCATTTTACAGGCAGGGAAGCAGGCCTGAGTGTCCAGGGCCACAGCTGCCAGTGGCAGGAGTCAGGAAGTGGTGGACTCCCAACTCCCAGTTCGGTGCCTTCCCCAGTGTCCTCTCTGTTGAGGGTTGAGACCCCGTGCTGGCGTTGCCCTCATTTCTGAGTCTCTGAAGTCCCACTACCCTAAAGTTTTTGAGGAGGGGAAGTGAGAGAAACCTACAAAGGATGAAGTTGGGGAACATTGGGCAAGAGTCATTCCCCTCTGAGAGGAATCTTTTAGACATAGACTCTGTCCTGCAGCACCATCTTCTGGCCCATTCTGATATTAGTGTCTTGCTCCATCGTTCTGTGGCAGGGAATTTACAGATGGTCGGTGCTTGGCTCTGATTGGCTCCTACTTGGCTCTGGTTAGGATGGGACTGATGGGGGGATAATGATGTAGATGTCAGAGCCCTAGTGGGCTCAGGGCTCTGGTGGGACATCCTAGAAAAAATATCATGTGGTCTGGGTTAGTTTTTTCACCTGAGCTCCAGCCAGCCAAGGAGGCACAAGTATTTGCTGCAACGTGAAGACGGAGGTTAGTTTCCCCTACGTCAGGATGCTAACAACTGGCAGTGCCTTGCCCCAGATGTGCTGGAGTCAGCTCTCGAGGGTAGACATTGCGTGGACAGGTTTTTTCTCTTTCCCTGGAGGACGCACAACATTGAAGTGAGAGGGATCTTGTTGTTCAACACTCACCACGTGCTTGAAAACTTAGTGTCTTATTTAATAATCTCAGCAGTCCTTTGCTATATGCAATATCACCATTACTGTTTTCTAGATGAAGAAACTGAGGGCAGAGATAAAAAGTAACTTGCTCAAAGTTATATTTTGTTGTTGTTAGTTGCTGTCGAGTTGGCTCCGACTCATACAACCTTATGGATAACAGAATGAAATGTTCCCTGGTCCTGTGCCATCTTCATGATTGTTGCTATGTTTGAGTCTATTTCATTAAAGGTTTTCCTTGTTTTCACCAACACTCTACCAACCATGATGTCCTGTTCTAGACTGGTCTTTCGTGATGACATATTCAAAGTAAGCGAGCCAAAGTCTTGCCGTCGTTGCTTCTAAGGAGCATCTGGTTATATTTTTTCTAAGACTGATTTTTTTTGGTCTTCTGGCAGTCCATGATATATTCAATATTCTTCACCAGCACTACAGTTCAAATACATCAGTTCTTCTGTCTTTTTCATTGTCCAGCTTCTGCATGCATATGAGGCAATTGAAAAGGCCCTCTACTGAGTGCTTTTCATGTAATATCTCATTTAATTTTCATGATGCCCATCAAATGCGGGTACTACTAACAACCCCATTTTCGAGGTACAGAGAGGATGAATAACTTGTCCAAGGTTATACTTGGCTACTAAGTGGTAGAGCTGGGATTTGAACCCAGGCAGTCAGGCGCTAGAGCCCGTGCTTGTAACCCCTCCTGCTCCACTGCCCAGCCTCCTGGGCCTTGTGGGGCTTCACCTGCCACCTGTGCTCAGTTCTAGGACTCTGGAGGCCACAGGCACAATGCTTCGGGTCCTGGTGGGGGCTGTCCTCCCTGCCATGCTGCTGGCCGCCCCGCCGCCTATCAACAAGCTGGCACTGTTCCCGGACAAGAGTGCCTGGTGTGAGGCCAAGAACATCACCCAGATCGTGGGCCACAGCGGCTGTGAGGCCAAGTCTATCCAGAACAGGTGGGGTCTGGGGGTGGGGGTGGGGGGAGCGAGGACCAGAGCTGTCCATCCCTGCCTCCCCCACAGTGACACAGGCACAGTGACCTCTCCTCCCACAGGGCGTGCCTAGGACAGTGCTTCAGCTACAGCGTCCCCAACACCTTCCCGCAGTCCACAGAGTCCCTGGTGCACTGTGACTCCTGTATGCCGGCCCAGTCCATGTGGGAGATTGTGAGTACCATCTGCCTCGCTCCGCCCCACCTCTGCCCAGAGCCCTGGCCTTTCTCCCTAGGGTGCTGTACGTCAGCAGATGGCTGCAGGCAGGCACTTAGTAAGGCTCTACTATGTGGAGGGTCCTGGGCTTGTGCTGAGAATACAGATGTGGTGCTTGCCGCACAATGGCTCACAAGTCTGACCCCAACATGTCAGGTCAAGGGATCTTCCTGAAGCTCTGTTCCAATGTCAGTCCTCTGCTGAAATCCTTTCACTCAGTGGCTCCCATTGTTACAGCTTGAGACCAAAATCCTTGCCCTTTCCCCCAGGCCCGTCGTAGTTGTTCGCCATCTTTCCAGCTTCACCTTGCCTCCCACCCTTCTCACTGGCTCATCTTGACACCAGCTTACCTCCATTCAGCCCCTTCTCAGCTGGTTCCTACCACGGGGCCTTTGCACAGGTTCTTGTCTGCTTGGAATAGCTTTCTTCTCCTCTTCATCTAGTTAACTTCTATTCATTCCTCAGCTCTTGGCTCAAGTGTCATTTTCTCGGGGTCCCTTTCCAGATCCCCCTGACAAGATCAGATCCCCTTCTGCGGGCTCTCAGAGCACTGTGTGCCTCTGCCTTGAGCATTTGTCTCACACCTGTACTTAAGTGATTTTGATGAGCATCTTTCCCTCCCCACTAGACTCTTGAGTTCCCTGATGAGCCATGCTTGTCCTTGTGTCCCCAGAGCTGGCACATCCTAGGTGCTCTATGAATGCACATGGGAGGAAGAAAGGAAAGAAGGAAGGGAGGGAGAAAGGAAAGAAGGACAATTAGAAGTGTGACAAATAGGGGAAGAGCAAGATGCTAAGGAATTCATACAAGCTGTCTTAGTCATCTAGGGCTGCTATAACAGAAATACCACAAGTGGATGGTTTTAATGAAGAGAAGTTTATTTCCTCCCAAAGTAGGCTAAAAGTCCAAATTCAGGGCTTCAGCTCCAGGGGAAGGCTTTTTCTCTCTGTCGGCCTTCTTCTTTTCCGTGTTCCCCTGGACTAGGAGCTTCTCTGTGCAGGGACCCCAGTCCAAAGGATGCGCTCTGCTTTCTTGATGGTATGAGGTCTCCAATTCTGCTTGCTTCCCTTTCCTTTTATCTCTTAAGAGATAAAAGGTGGTGCAGGCCACACCCCAGGGAAACTCCCTTTACATTGGATCAGGGATGTGACCTGGGTAAAGGTGGTGTTACAATGCTACCCTAATCCTCTTTAACATAAAATTAAAATCACAAAATGGAGGCTAACCACACAATTCTGAGAATCATGACCCAGCCAAATTGATATACACATTTTTTGGGGAACATAATTCAAACCATGACACAAGGCAAACTTCAGCTGAGTCAGGGGTCTGCAATGGGGTTCTTTTGAGGAAGTCATATCTGAGCTCAGACCCAAAGGTTGAGTAGAGGTTAACCAGGCAAAGTTTGGGGCAGGTGGCAGGGGGATGGTTTGGGTGAGAACCTTCCAAGCAGAGGAAACAGCATGTGCAAAGTCTCAAGCCCAGAGTTGGAGGGAGTGGTGCAAGGTTAAGAGTGGAGAGGTTGGCCAGGAGCAGCCTGACGGTCCTGGGTGGCCTTAGGAAGGAATCAGGATTTTTCTCCTAAATGCAGTTGGTAGCACTGAGGGAACTTTTAAGCAGAGGTAGGCCACAATTGGATTTTTTTCCCCTGGGGTACCCTCTGGCTGCTGTGGGAGGTGGATAGGAAGGTGGCAGGACTGACCTGAGGAGACGAATCAGGTGGCTTCTGCAGGGGCTCAATCTTCTGTCTTTCCCACTTGCTGAATGGACCCACAGAGCTCACTGGGGCATCCCAGGTGAGCTCTGGGACTCTGGGGTCTCTGAGATTCTTGATCCTATGAAGTACTCTTACCCTTAGGGCCTTCCTGCCCTGAACAGGCCTTTGGAAACACCCTTCCCCCTCTCTCTCACACTCCCAGGTGACCTTGGAGTGCCCCGGCCATGAGGAGGTGCCCCGGGTGGACAAGCTGGTGGAGAAGATCCTGCACTGCAGCTGCCAGGCGTGCGGCAAGGAGCCCAGCCACGAGGGCCTGAGTGTCTACATGCAGGGCGAGGACGGGCCAGGCACCCAGCCTGGCACCCACCCACACCACCACCCTCACCCCCATCCTGGTGGGCAGACCCCTGAGCCCGAGGATCCTCCGGGGGTCCCCCATACTGAGGAAGAGGGGGCTGAGGACTAAGGCCTCCAACTCTTCCTCCCCTCTCATCCCCCTGTGGAATATTGGGTCTCACCCTCTGGGGAAGAGTGGGGGGGAGGCTGAAGCCTCCCTGTGGCACCAGATGGACTTGGATTCAGACTTGGACTTGGAATGTTACCCGGTTGCCATGGAGATCTGAAGGGGAGGGTTTGGAGCCAAGCTGCACATTTTAATGTATTCAAGAGTGGGGGGAGGAAGCAGAGGTCTTCAGAGTTCTTTATTGGAGGGGGCGCCTCTTCCTTTCTGCCTCCTAGAGATATGCCCTTGGGAGGGGGTGGAAGTTGGCAAAGCTGCTGAGGTGAAGGTGAGGCCATCCAAGTTGGGGGGAGGTGCCAGGCCAAGACCCCACTGCCTCTGGGTGGGGCAGGGCCCCTGGGGGTGCAGATGATGGAGCTGGGTCCTGGAGTGGAGGGTGGGCACACTGCCAGCAGCAGCCTTAAGGGGAGTCTGGGTCCAGGCTAGGAAGACCGTTGGCAGAAGCAGGAAGCTCCAGTGCCACAGGTTTCCCAAAGGGCTCCCCTCCCCATCCCAGGGAAGCTTCTCTCCAGTGACACTGAAGTGGAGTGGTTTGGGAGTCAGGCCTGGGCAGGACCCTGTCGACTCTTTGGCTCGAGCTGGGAGCCAGGCTCCCTGGGCCTCTCCGTGGCTTCCTTGACTTGCCTGTGGTCAGGAATGATGGGAGGTGGGGGAAAGGAGAGGCCTTTCTGGGCCGAGGGAGGGGGAATGAGCCCCAATCCATCACCAGTGAAGAACATCTTTCCCTCCTCTCCCTCTTAGAGATCTTAGCTCCTTCCTCTGTACCCCAAGTTCTAGGCCCTTAGAAAGCTGATGGAGCCAGCCCCACTCTCTTGGGGGAGCTATTTCTAAATATCTGATGGGGGAGGAGGGGGAGGTCCCCTTACCCAGAGGTTCCAAGGAGGAGCTTTGCCTGCCATCCTGGGTGGGCAGACTCAAGAAACCCCCAGGGAAAAGGAGGAAAGAGGGCTTTTTAGGGTGGCCACTTGGGGCTCTCTCTGGTGCCCTACTTCCACCTGCCCCTCCCCTCAGCTGCACTTTAACCCTAGAGGGGGTGCAGGGACCTGGGGGAAGGGCAGGCTGGCCTGGAAGACAGCCCCTCAGTACCCGGTACCCGGAACTGCTTGTGTCTGCTCTTCTGTTCCCAAGGTGGCCGCCAGACTCCCCAAGTCCCCTGCCTAGGGGTGCTCTGGCCCTCACGGCTTTTACGACAAGAGCTTCTGGAGCTTGTAAGCAGTAGATTGTCTCTTGGACTGACCCTGAGTCTTCTTATGAATAAATTCCTTCAGTGCCTGTGTTCTCTTCCTCATTAGCCGGCTCTGCTGACCTGGGCTTCTCGGAGGTTCCCTTGGCCGGGCCTGGGGGGGAGGGGTCAGGCTACAGAGTCCCAGATGTACCCACCAGGCTCAGCCCCCACAGCCTTCCCTGCATCCCGGGAACCCTCTCATTTCCCCGCCATATGGTGCATCCCAGCTCCTGCTGCACTGTCTCCCAACTCCCCACCTCTATCCTTGAGTGCTTGTTTTTTGGTCTCGCACACACTTCATGGCTGGTCTCCAGAACTAGGCTGCCCTCCTGATTTTGACCCTTGGTCCCTTGGACTTGCCTCATGCCATCTCTCTTCACCCTTATGGTGACCCAGCATCAGCACTTGCCTGGGCCCCAGGAGAAGGGGAATTGGCAAAACCCTTGGTTCAAATTAACATGAGGTCCTTGCTATAGGGGGCTGTGTGAAGCACTTTTTACATAAATTAATGTGCTGAATCCTCACCACCACCACCCTCTGATGGAAATACTGCCTCACTTTATAGGTGGCGCATCTGAAGTAGAAAAACCCGTTGCTGTCGAGTCGATTCTGACTCATGGTGACCCTATAGGACAGTAGAACTGCCACATAGGGTTTCCAAGGAGCAGCTGGTGGATTCGAATTGCTGACCTTTTGGTTAGCAGCTGCAGCTCTTAACCACTGCACCACCAGGGCTCCTTCTGAGGTACCAAGGGATTAAGTAATTCACCCAGGGTCATACAGTTAAGAAATGTCAGCGTCAGAACTCGAACCTAGGCTTAGAGCCCAAAGCCTTAATCACCGCTCTCGGTATAACCTTAGTAAAAAATAAACCAGTTGTGGCAGAGTGGATTCCGACTCATGGCGACCCCATGTGTTGCAAAGTACAGTATCCACCCCCCCCCCACGAGGTTTACCTTTCCACGGTTTCAGTTACCTGTGATCAGCCGAGGTCTGAAAATATTAAATGAGTAGTGTGATGAAATCTCACGCCTTCCCACTCCATCCTGCCCAGGGACTATATTCACATAACTTTTATTACAGTATATTGTTATAATTGTTCTATTTTATTGTAAGTTATTGTTGTTAATCTCTTACTGTGCATAATTTATAAATTAAACTTCATCATAGGTATGTATGTCTAGGTCAAAACAGTATATAGTATATGTAGGGGGTTTGGTACTATCCGTTTTTTTCAGGCATCCTCATGAAGTTGACCTGGGTCCCCCTAATTCTGCACCTCACAGGGCTGGTGTTGGTGAAGGCTATGACCCCCTTTCTTCCTCGCACACATTGCTGTATCTATCATATAAAGGCAATTTTCTAATCCATGGGAAACTTCTATTTTGCAAACGAGGAAACAGCGCCTTTATGCCATGGGTGTGATTTGGCCAGTCCGGGAAGTAGGAAGGGAGCACTGGTGACACAGTGGTTAAGTGCTCACTGCTAACCAAAAGGTAGGCAAACCTACTAGCTACTCCACGGAAGAAAGATGTAGCAGTTTGCTTTGATAAAAATTATAGCCTTGGAAACCCTATAGGGCAGTTCTTTATTCTGTAGGGTCGCTATGATTCAATGGCAACGGGTTTCGGTGTTTTTTTTTTTTTGTCTCTGCATGCAGAAGGTATACTTCTCTCCAGCCCATTTTCCCAAGATGGAAGGAGGAGAGAGAGGCTAATGACGAGCAGAGGTGACTCTCATGGTCCAGGCGTGATGCTGGGGTCAGAGTTAAGAAGAGGCAGTGGATTGGACAGGTGGGGCCACAGGAAGAGGCGGAGCCACAAGGAATGGCGCTGATGATTGGATGTAGGAGCCCAGGGAAAGGGAGGAGCCAGATTTGAGAGATAAGAGGCAATTAAAAAAAACAAAACAAAAAAATCACAGCTAGTTGTACAGACTTGCGAATTGGCTGGGATGTGGGGTCAGTGACTTCCGATTTTTCTCTCCACCAAGCTCAAACTGAACCACCAAGAGGCCCCTGGGGGGTGGGGTGGGGGGAAATACGGGCCGCCAAACAATTGTGGACGGACTTAAATGTTTACAAAGGATTAATACTGGGACGCAGCACTGTGAACGCAGACCCTTCTTCAGATAGCAGGGAATTAGTACCGGCTTCTCAACCTTGTTTGACTATATGGCGCCAACTCCCAACTAGTTATCTTCCCCTACTCCAAACCTGTAGGCAAATCCGGTCGGTCTGGGTTCAAATCCTGACTTGGCCACATCCTAGCTTTGTCGTTTTGAGCAAGCCACTAAAGACCTCTGAGGCTCAGGTTCCTCATCTGTAAAATGGGGAATAATAATTACACCTACTTCACCCCCAAGGTCTTGGTGAGCATTACGTGAGTCAATGCACGTAGAGTGCTTGAAGAGTGCCTGGTGTGTAGTAAATTCATGCTAAATGTCAGCTATCATTATCATTATTATTGAGGATGAACGCTTGGCCCATAACTGCTGGTGGTTGGGCTGATAGTTTTGTTCATTTATTCATTCATTGAGCAGCTATTTATTATTAATAAGTTATATACAACTTATACAATTAT